TAGATAGATAGATAGATAGATAGATAGATAGATAGATAGATAGATAGATAGATAGATAGATAGATAGACATTTATTTATTTATGTATATTTATATACAAAAGTTTCTAGAAAAGCTAACGGAAGCCTGGCCAAGAGGAATCCGCTGTTGCCTTGTGGTGGGATTCACCTTCGAATCTCTTCATCGCACGCTTGCATCCAAAATGAAAGTGGACATTTTGAATAAAGACTTGCTTGTCTCGAAAAGTAATCATATTGAAAAAGAGGAAATTATGCCTTTTAAATAGTTTGCTAAAAATATTGGCACTAGCCACAGCACAGCTGTCCCATAGAAGGTATCCTTTAACGCCGCTGATGAGAACAACCTCAGAGGGTAATGCAGAGGCGTAACAATTTCTCAATAATGACAATTCGAAGGTGTGAAAAAAACAAGACCCGGGCATACAGCCGATGTTCTTCCGCCCTGGTTGCTACGCCATTTTCTGACAATGCTAGTACGACTGCGAAACAACAAACAGACAACAAAATTAAACGATTCGAATAATGACAAAAACTGTACTATCTGGTGTCCGTTATACCCCGTTAAACCGAGTTTTAACCAAGTTCGTTCTACTCACCTGTTACTGGGGTGACCATCCTCTTCGAGGCCGATACATCCAACGGCCTTGGCTTGCCCACCTCAGCCTCCGAGTATCTGGAAATTGCTCTTCGACTTGTAGCCACCCTGCTACCATCATTTCGGCCAATAAAGTTTGCTACAGAAATAGAGCGCCCGTCGCGCTCCATACTGGCGGCCAGGTGGGGAGTGAAGTTGGGATTCGGCTCAAGCTTAGGTCGCATTCGAGTGATTGTCTCCAAGGCAGCCAAATGCCAATATTGTATGCTATCGTAACTAGACAAGATATGTGCACAAGTAATGTAATAATAAGCAACGATTTGGGCAAAAGTAATGAAGCAAATCTGAAAAGGCGATAGGTTTGAAAGAATTTCTGATTAATTGCATAAAAATAATATGTATCTTGAACTCACGAAAAAGAGAAAAAGGATTTTCTTGCTGTTTTTGAAGGTTTATTTTAGCAAAGATGTCATCCACTCACCATCCTAGGACGCCAATCCATCCATAATAAGTAGAAAAATTATTATTCAACGAAAGAAGAGTGGTAACCAGTTTACTACCTACATACCTCTTGTAACTCAAATGTACAAACTTAATCAGGAATCCCACGACTTGGAAGTGGGAACATTATAAACGTCAATAAGGAGAGATTGACAGTTTTCCTGACTATGCATTTTTTTAATGAATTTTCAGACCCTCCCTCCAGATCTGGTTGCTACGAGATTCTTTGCTTACGAGGGGCAGGCTTGCAAGCCTGAAACCGAGGCCATAGGTCCAAGAGTCCATAAATTTGAACAGGCTAGTGCAATACACCGAAAGGTATGAGTTAAAACCCAACGTTTTGAGAAGTATAAAGATAATTCAGTTTGGAAGATTAGGAAATCTATACCATATTAGAAAAATTTCCATACCTGGAGTGAGGGAAAGAGCTTGAAATTGAGCCGTAACTACATCTGGTAGTCGAAACGATTTAAGAGGTGGAAGCCGGGCGAACTGTCAAGTTAGAGTGGGCTGGAGCGAGTTTCTCAGATGGTTGTAAGAGTAGCATCTAATTTGACTCATAAAATTAACACACAAACACACCAACACACACGCAACAAATGTGCAAGCAAACACAAGCACACGTGTCAAAATTGCAGGATTAGACTGCATGTGATTTGAGTATGTCTCGAAAGTACTATTAAATCTTGGAGAACGAAATCAAATCATTTTATGCTAAGAAAAGATTGTTTCAGAGAAATCTCTTTGTCTTTAATTGTTGGGCTCACTAAACACCTTCACTCGAAATGGAAATGAGTCTAATAAATCACCTTAGTTCAATTGAGTGACTTCATGCGAAACAGCTTTCTGTATGCTATTCACTTATAACCTTAAGATCTACCCATTTGAGAAAAAAGTGCAGCCGAAATCAAACGGATAAATAAACTGAACATTAAAAAAAAACAAATAGTAGATCGAGGATAATGAATAGAAAATAAGAGGCGAGAAATACTCAAAAAGAGCGAAGCTCAGAAAAATATTGTGAAGATTATATGAAATGTATTCACTTTAGTTCGTTTAAGGTGATTAAGAAGTGATAATATCATTTTCCCACAATGCTATGCGTAGAGCGGACGTTTCCATTGAATTTCACAGAGCCGTGCTTTCGCAAAGGTTGTTCTTATTCAGGGTGGACTGCAGTTCGCCAGAAACAAAATATGGTGAATGCATCTCATATAACTG